TCACACAGCTATTGCAAGCCGTGCTGGTGATTATTACACTGACAATGTTGTGAAACACTTTAGGCAAGTCATAAAGGAACGAGAGGTACAGGCCACTATGGACAGATATCTTGTGCGAAAGAAGTCCAGTGACTCTGAAGCTGGCCCTAGTGGCATTAAAAGAAGAAGGGAAGTAACCCCAGAAAAGGACTTGCTACCTCAAGTCCTAATGGAAGGGGATTCCCCTTCTAAACAGTAAGAAGATAATGCTCTCCCCTCCTGCCACCCCATCAATCATCACCAGATCTTCAATAAAAGTAAGTGTCATGTAAGTGTGCATGCCTTTTTCAGTTTGTGTGTATTAAAATTAACATTTCATGTGGTAAAAAAAATTTTTTTTCATACTTTTGGGTGTCTTGCACGGATTAATTTTATTTCCATTATTTCTTATGGGGAAAATTCATTCACATAACGATTATTTCGCATAACAATTACCCCTCTTGCACGGATTAAAATCGTTAACCGGGGGTCCACTGTATACTTATGTGTACCTGTAACTAAATATACTTACACACTGTGCTGGTGTGCAGGTACACATTAAAATCGCTAAGTCTCTCTCTCTACTCTTTACACCAATAGTACGTAATAATCATCACTCTTGGGCACAATAAATGTCTTATTTTACATTAATATAGATATTTTCATTAATCCATCTATGATATTTTCCTCAAAATTATATAAGAAACACGTTACATAGCATATAAACATGATACATACACTCACAGAATAAAAATTGACGTAAATATGAGATTTATTTACAAAGAGTCCGTGTAGGTAGTGTCAGAAGAATTATGTTTTCTCTAGTCAAACACTAGGGGATAAGTGTAGAAAAATATTCCTTTTGTATGCCTTCACTCTATACGTATATAGCAATTCACGACCCTTGTGGGTTTAGCGCCTTTTTATTATGATGAGAATGGGAGTGTTGCTGTTTGTTTATTCTGTACTAACTTGTACAACTGTACACAATGCAACAGTATTTGTATTGTGAGGTAATTATTATTATAATAAAAAATATTGTGAGGTAAAAGTTTTACGAACTCTTACAAACGTACGTGAATGAACTAAAAGTATAAACATATTAATATGCATTTATTTCGCCTGCCCAAGTGATCACCCACTACTTGTTCAGCTTGTATTCTTATACTGTCTGAACTCTGTATCTCGTTCTCTCTCTCGTTTACTCTTTCGTGAACTAGTTGGCTCTCACTGATGATGGCGTCTAAGCTTAGCTGTGATAAAAAGAGGAGTCATAAGCCTCTTGCTTTAAGTGCCAAGTTAGAGGATGATGGTGTGCCATTCTGATTTTATTCAATAAACACCCTGCCACTTACCTCTCACACATTAATATTAATATTTTAAGGTAAGTAATAAGTGTACTCTGTATGTATCTTACCTTTTATTGTGTTTTTAATGCCTATTTCTATTGCTAATTTAATATAAGTTAGTGTAAACTTGTTGTCTGGCATTTATTGCATATTTTATACTGTGCTCTGATAATAATACTTGTGGACCTGTGTGGTAGCCAGGCGGAGGGATAATATTATGTTTTCTCTGGTCAGGCACCAGAGGAAACTTGTATGAGTCTACGATAGGCCCAGCCACTCCCCCACTTCGCTTTTGTTTACAATTTTCGGCATAAATTATTCATTACTTCCGGCTACCTACACTGACTTCCTACAAATAAGTACTACTCATCTCTCTTCCTACAATAAGACTACACATATTTTTTTTTAATGCTTAGTTCTATTACTAATTTAATATAATTTAGTGTAAACTTGTCGTCTGGCATTTACATATATGCATTTATAAATGGAAAAAATGGCATTCTCCTTTCCGGCGATAGCCTGGAACCTAACCCGCCATATAAGTGGGGCCCTACTGTGTGTGTGTGCTTGCCTAATTGTGGTTGCAGGGGTCGAGACTCAGCTCCTGGCCCCGCCTCTTCACTGATCGCTACTAGGTCCTCTCTCCCCCTGCTCCATGAGCTTTATCATACCTCGTCTTAAAACTATGTATAGTTCCTGCCTCCACTACATTGCTTGCCAGACTATTCCACTTCCTAACTACTCTATGACTGAAGAAATACTTCCTAACATCCCTTTGACTCATCTGAGTCTTCAGCTTCCAATTGTGACCCCTTGTTTCTGTGTCCCATCTCTGGAACATCCTGTCTCTGTCCACCTTGTCTATTCCACACAGTATTTTGTATGTCGTTATCATGTCTCCCCTGACCCTCCTGTCCTCCAGTGTTGTCAGACCTATTTCCCTTAACCTTTCTTCATAGGACATTCCCCTTAGCTCTGGAACTAGCCTTGTTGCAAACCTTTGCACTTTCTCTAATTTCTTGATATGTTTGACCAGGTGTGGGTTCCAAACTGGTGCTGCGTACTCCAGTATGGGCCTGACGTACACAGTGTATAGAGTCTTGAATGATTCCTTACTATTCTCAGGTTTGCCAAGCGTCCATATGCTGCAGCAGTTATCTGGTTAATGTGTGCTTCTGGCGATGTACTCGGTATTATACTCACTCCTAGGTCTTTCTCCTTGAGTGAGGTTTGCAGCCTTTGGCCACCTAGCCTATACTCTGTCTGAAGTCTTCTTTGCCCTCCTCCGATCTTCATGACTTTGCATTTGGCGGGGTTAAATTCTAGGAGCCAGTTTCTGGACCACACATCCAGCCTGTCCAGGTCTCTTTGTAGACCTGTCTGGTTCGCATCTGATTTAATTCTACTCATTAACTTCATGTCATCTGCAAACAGGGACACTTCTGAGTCTATCCCTTCCGTCATGTCGTTCGCACGTGTGTGTGTGTGTGTGTGTGTGTGTTGTGTGTGTGTGTGTGTGTGTACATATATATACACACACACACACAAAATTGTATTCAGCAAATTTAAATGAAAGAATAAAATGACAAATTTATATGCAAAAAAATTAAGCGCACCAGTAAAATAGTTTGAATGTCATGATATGTAAACTTGTAATTTGATTACTGTATCAGATTTTTAAGTATAAAGTATAATGTATAGTCAAATTAAAAGTCCTGGTACACACTTATTTGAAGCTGTACTAAGCCCTAAGCAGATTCCAGTAGTTCAACAGTTCTGTACCTAACAGGACCTCAGTCATGACCATAACTTTACAGAGGAAACAGACCATTTACAAAATACTGATGATAATTTCCAAGCTTGCAAGAAATAACTAAAATCTAACTCCATTACAAATCTGTTATCATATACATCTTTCAATTTATATATTTACTGATAACATCAGTATACTACCAGTTAGTATGATTTCAAAGGCAACTTATACAATTTTACCATATAAAATAAATTAATACCTGGTATCATGTAAAGACATGCTTGTTAATTCTTCACAATGACCAAGCCTTAGAAAGAGAAAAATTCTGTTATCTGTGATTTTTTGAACAGCATGGGCCAGTAGGTCTATTGCAGTGCTCAACTACCCATATTTTCTAATATATCCAACTATAAAAGGTCACGAGTCAGTTATCAGATGAGATTCAACAGCTGCTTGTCCATCTTAGATTACTTTGGTTTAATAAGTCCCTCACAATAGTTTATTTATTATATTCATCTCTGATATTGAATTTTAGACAGTAAAGACAAATTCCTTTGCAGATATGCTACAAATGTTTAAAAAATCTTGCCCACATTTGAAAGAACTGTTCCTTTTATAACCAAATTGATAGATCACTGTTTTCAAAGCAGATTTTTGAAGTCAATGAAGGGGGCTCTGTTTCACACACTCCTTAAGCCTTCCCTTGATTCAGAAAGTATGTCAGACTATCCTTCTGTTTCTTATCTTGCATTCCTTTCTAACTTGATTGAATATGCTTTTTTTTTTTATCAATTATTTATTTTCTGGAGTGGAGAAATGTTTTCCTATGGGTTCAGAATGTGTATGCATAATTTCATTAAGACAGATTTGTGCAAAATTTATAACGATCCAGTACTGAACATTTTTCTTTTTTAAAAAATGCGTCACTGCTAAATTTGTTGGACCTCTCCATTGCATTTGATACTCCTGATTGTGGATTACTGATAACTGATCTTTTTGGCTGTGGCTTTGGGATATGTATTACACTGTCAGTTCTACAATCATATCTTTCTGATTGGTCATGTAATCAAAAATTCTTCATTCCTCATAGCTCTGTTTTGGGACTGATTTTGTTTACAGTTTACATTAGTGACTTAGCCTTACTGTTGGATGCCCAGTGATTTCAATAATAATTTTTATGCTGATAATTCAAGTCTACATCTAGATTTTAAACGTAGAAGATGGAAAACTATTATAGCTCTCCTTTGTGGATATTTGGACATGAGCAACAAATAGAAAATTTAAACTAAATGAGGATAAGACAGAGATTTTGACTGTCAAAAGAAACCTCAGCAAAGAACAGATTAGAGATTTTGGTGCTCTTGATTGTGGTACAGTTAGTTTGCAGCTTGTGGGATCAGTGGATGATCTGGGTGTCTACCTGGAATCTTCACTGTCATTTGTTGGCCACATCAACCAAATTGTTAAACAGTGAAATTTTCATATTCTTAACCCTTAAACTGTCCAAACATAGATCTACATTTGTGCGCGTAGTGCTCCAACCTTAATTTTCTACATAAGAAACAATGTAAAAAAAAAAACGTAGATCTACGTTCAGAGCGCTACGCGTGCAAACGTAGATCTACGTTTGGACAGTTTAAGGGTTAATTGCTATGCAGAAAATGTCTTGAAAAGTATTTTTGGCCTTATTCATGTACTTGTTTCCTCTCAAACTGATTTGCAATTATTTGTCAGTCTGCTTAACTACTTGCTAAAAAAGATTTCAGACTGTACTGAATCATGAAGCTAGACTGGTATTTTTGCTCTGAACTAGAGTTCCCTCTATACTTGTATGAGTTGTATTGTTTCCTTATCAAATTAAGAACTGAATCTGAGCTCTGTTTATCAACATTTAAAGTTAATTTTTTTTTTTAACCTAATTATCTTATTGATATGCTTGTACATTTCCTACTGGGCTCAGAAATGTTTCTGCAAAATGCCATGACCCTTTTAGATTGACTGAGCCTTATGCTGTTAGGAAGAAATACTTCACAGAAAGAGCCTTTTCTAGAGTAGCTCCAAGATTTTTGATCAAGTTGCCAGTGTCTTTAAGAGTCTGGTATCTGCTCATAGTTTCAAGTCTCAGTTAGAGCTTATGATCCTGATGATCATACTATCATTCTCAAATAAAAGCTTCAGTATGTCTTCATTGTTGTTGTTGCATTTATGACTTGGTGTGTGAGTGCGTGCATTTCTTGAAAGAACAGACACTCAAGAATAACAAAATCCCAATATTTATAATTATTATTTTTTATTATTATTTAAAAACTATTTTTCCAGTTTATTTGGCTACTCCTGGTTCTGTTGGGTTTGGATAACAGGAACTTTACTGCATCTGTTATGTACCTAAACATACTTGATTTCTTTAATGTTCATAAAAAAAAAATAATACAGTAACTAGAATTTCTGTATGTACGATTTTTTTATGAACGTACATCTTTCTTCTTTCAATGCACCAGCTGCATCCCACCAAGGTGGGGTGGCCCAAAAGAAAAAATAAAAGTTTCTCCTTTTAAATTTGATAATATATACAGGAGAAGGGGTTATTAGCCCCTTGCTCCCGGCATTTTAGTTGCCTCTTACGACACGCTGAGTGATTTAAACCAAACAAAGGATATGGGCACAAACAATATACTGCTGTGGATACTAAGAGAAGGAGCTGCAATACTCAGCAAACCACTATTTGCAAAACTAAAGCAAACCAATGGAAACAGATAAACTGTTAGACTCCTGAAGAAAGCAAATGCAAGCCCAGTATTTAAAAATAAGGCAAGAGACAGGTATTGCTAATTTACTGACAAGTATCTCTCGAGAAATATCTAAAGCAAAGTAATGGAGAAAGTGATAAGAAATAGACCAGAACACTTAGAAAGAATGAGATTTATTCAAGGATGAAAAATCCTGTCTTTAAATGATGTAAAATACTCAGAGAAATTAGACAGGCTAGAAAAAGGATAGATCAACTGCATATTGCTAAACTACAAAATCTGAAAAAAGCCAATACTAAGTAAAGAAAAAATGACCAAACTAATATTTAAATGACCTCTCGTGCCTAAATTTATATATATAAATGTTCGAAGACATGCTAAGATAATGAGAATATGGTAGACATCCCAATTACAAGCCTAATGCATACCTAAAAATTGTAACTCAGGTGTTCAAAACAGCCTATTTTTCCCATGGACACCCCATGTCATAACTGGACATTTGCCTCCAAACCATAATCTCCCATATCAAATTACATTATTTAACTGAGATTATTTACCCAATATTTACATTCAATACTGCCACTTTCACTTGAAATAGCATCAAAGAATGCTTAGCTAATGTCAATGTGTCCATGCTCAATATACATAACAGAGCTACAATACAGTACACAGAATTTCACTGTACTTTCACTGAATCTTGATGATGTCTTGCTAACTGAAAGTAATGTTTCTACAGTCACAAAACACTCTGATGTTCAGAAGAGTGTATCTGTGTAAATCATTAATTGGTTCCAAATGCCCCAACCCTAAGTGCAGATTATAGTAAATCAGACTATTATAAGTTGGAGGGCCTATTGTATAAGCAATTAATGACTGGAAAAATCCTGCAAAATGACCTTGACTAGCTACAGGAGTGGTTAGAAAACTGGCAATTTGAATGCAATACAAGTAATGAAATATAGGCAAGAATGTGCTACATGGGTGAAGAGATGATCACAGAATTAATCACTGAAAAAGATCTGGGTGTCAAAATCACAACAAATGTACCAAGAAACACACACAAATCAAGTATTTTTGGTGGTATACATAAGCCAGACAAGAAAACACTAGAATGGCACATTGTGGCCTAAACAAAAACTAATTCATGCTACTGCACTATACCCAACATATGACTAATAATTCTAGAATATGTGGTACCAATATAGAACCATCAGTCAGTTAAAGGTTAGGTTAGGAACTATGATTCATCCCCTGCAAACACAAGAAAACTGAGGTCTAAACATCTGCAACAACTTTAGAACCATAATCACGGAACAAAACTTAAGAAACAAAAATAATACATCATGTACAAAAAAACTGATGACTCCAGTTAAGTCAGCCAACAAGTTAAGAGGCTGGTGTATAAGATTAAGCTTAAATTTGGCAAACTCAAACCAGATAATTACATATATTCACCCCTCTTCCCTAGTGTAAAATCATTACAGTATTATACTTAATACTGGTAAGAATTAAGAAAGCTCTTGCATTCTGATTTGGTATACAACAGCCGGCCCACTGCCTACTGTATGCAATGGTTTGCTCCTATCCAGGGGCTACATAATAAGCTTTGATATTATTACATCATACTTAACAACGAGCAAATTTGCAGTATTATCATATTCAGAGAGTGATTAGAAAGTCTGCATACACACATACTGTACTTATACATGGTTTGCGCTATCTTCAAGTGACATACACAAACTCGCTCACCATTTTACTGACATATACAGCAATCTCATTAGTTCAATACTGAAGAAGTCTGTACATAAAACATATCAAATAAAACAATAATCACTTACTCAGATTACACAGAAACATAAGGACTAAGATATTCCTGGCAATACAGATTTGGAATAAAGTACTGTACAACAAACCAGAAAAATATGCACACATCAATTATAAATCAAAACAATAATTTGTGTAGGAAAACTGTGGGAATTCAAAATGTATCAATATGTTAATCTCATTTTTTACTTAAAGTATAATGTAACAAGACCTGAGAACATTTAAATATGCATTACAAATGTTTCTTATGATTATGAGCTACTATAACCACTGTTAACTATAGTAAAGCAGAAGGCCTATGCTTGTCAATATGAATGGCTAGTGAAGGTTGAATTATTCTACAGATTTTCCAAGGTGATTGCTTTGTTAGTTCTTACCAGTGGATTAATGAAATTAGCTGTTAAGTCAGTTTGGTTTATAAATACTCTCTTTTTTTCTCCTTATTCAGCACCATTACAAGATTTTCATTAAGACATACAGTGTACTAACAAAATTGGATTGTTGTATATTTGTACATGACTCAGCACCTAATTTTGACAAAAAATAGTTACACATTAGAGCTTATGCTTTTTTACTGCATTTTTTTTCCTGTTTATTGATCTAGTAAATATACTGTTAATTTCACTAGTGTTATGAATGTTCACTCATAACTTCATGCATAACAATCTCATCATACATAAATGATGAGTCATCATAACAAAAGGTAAAAAAAAATAAATCAACACCTATGTAAAAGTATAAAAACTGTTATACTACAGTGTTCAGCATTTAACTATTTTCATATGGTAAGCCAGAACCATGCTACATACTCTAGTCACATAATTACTGAAACATCACTACTGTACAAGCTCAAACTTAAAATGTGAAAGCAATCCAAGACTCAATCTTTTCTACAAGTGCATGGTATAGTATCTCAAATGTAATAACTATAATTAAAAATGCAGAATGCATTCCTCCTGCCGCTGATCTGGCAGCAGTGTACCTATCTTCCTTGTTATCTTGTTTGCTATTTTCATAATTTCATCATGGCCTTTCCGTTGCTTTTCATGCAACCAACCTGTGGTAAGTCATACTCATCCACTCTTACCATATTTACATAATATCTATGCCAACTTTTACCAAACTACCAATTAAAGAAATCTGGTACATTACTATCTGAACCATCCTATTGCCCAATCTTTTAAAACTACAGGAGGAGGACTGCTACTTGTAGCTTAAATAAATAAAAAGGAAGGGGTAAAAGGTTCATTCCACTGCACACATGGCTTCCTCATAGGGTACTTACTAATGTAAATGTACTACATCAGATGTTTAAGAATTGTTCTTCAGTCTGAGATTTCATATACTATGTGGAATAGACTATGGAAGGTAGGATGTGAAGGAAGGTAATCCTGTAAACAGCACAGTCCAAAGATGGCATCCATACATGTTGCTTGTTACAATTATGAAACTAAGTACAGGTTGACCATCACTAATCCGGCACCACTGGGACCTGTAGAGTGCTGGATTACAGTCGTTAGGTTAGAATACACTTAACCCAACAGCAATATTTACGCATTGGCGATCTGACCCACTTTACACCCTATTTTATTCATTGGAACTAGGGCTAGGGCTAAAAGTGAGCAGGTTGCAACAATAAATGGAGAAAAAGAAATTGGAATGACTTATGCAGCAAGTAGCACCACCAAACAGTAGCAGCAAGTTGGTGTGGCAACCCTGGAAATTTGAAATTATGCCGGATTACTAATGGAACTGGATTACCGATGGCTGACCTGTATTCAACAGTTGGCAGGTGTCACTCAAGGTTAGCATTAACCCTTTAACTGTCAGTGTCGTATTAGTACAGTTTACAAGCCAGTGTTGGTGCTGTATTAATATGCCAAAATTCTAGCAGCTTCAGATCCAGCGGGAGAAAGCTGATAGACCTACAAGTGAGAGAATGGGTCTGCGTGGTCAGTGTGCTCAGTATAAAAAAAACCTGCAGCACGCAGTGCATGAGAAAAAAAAAACTCCGACCGTGTTTTTGGTTGAAAACACCGACTTCAAGGTGTATTTTTGTATGGTATTTATGGTTGTATTCTCGTTTTCTTGGTCTCATTTGATAAAATGGAAGATATATTACAGAAACGGAGATTATTTTGATTGGTTTCACAATGAAAAGTACCTTGAAATTGAGCTCAACGTAGAGGAAATGTTTGAGTTTTGCTGATGTTCAGGAGTAAACAAATGACATCATTGTCCAATACGTGTCCAACTGGCCAGTCTAATACGCGGTCACAAATGGGGTGACATTATTTATACAATTATTACAATAATGCAGTAGTCTGCATAAGAATAAATCTTCTATTTTTTTGTGTAAATAAAAATTCAAAATGGAAAGCAAGAGTAATATAAGAGGGGCCTGGATACATGAGTAATGAATAGAGAAAATGTTATTTTAGTGCCAGGAATGTCTGCATTGTTTATTCTGGACCCTATTTTGAAATTGGCATCTTTTGAAATTTATGTGAAATTGCCCAAATTGCCAATTTCTGGCCACTTTATTGGGTAGTTGAAATTGGTAAATGAGCGGTTTCTTGTACTCAATCAATAGAACAGTTCTAGGAAAATAGCTATGAGTTTGGTTGACTGGAATAATGGAATTGGCCAAAAATAGGGCCCAAAGTGGGCGAAATCGCTGATGCGTATATGTCACCGAGACCACTAACTTCATGAGAGCGTAATTTCATAAGTTTTCCATCAAATTTCGTACTTTTGATGTCATTACCATCAGGAAAAGATTATCATTTCATAAGAAAAAATCTTTTTTTTTTTTTTGAGCAGGGCTCTTGACAGTGAAAGGGTAAAAAAATCCTGCCCCAAATTCCACAATGAAAAACAAAATTTATGTATGAATCCAATTACTGTGGTACCTCGAGTTTCGAACAGCCCCCAACTCGAACAATTATGTAAGTGTATTTTTGTAAGTGCTTCTGTAAGTGTAATTTTGGGGGTCTGAAACAGACTAATCTAATGTACATTATTCCTTATGGGAACAAATTTGTTCGGTATCTGCACTCGCACAGCCTTCTGGAATGAATTAAGTTCATAACTTGAGGTACCACTGTACTTTATTTTATTTTTTTATGTATTTCAAATGCTAAATACTTTACTTCAGTTATACCATACATCTAAGACTTAATATCCAATTTGCAATATCAGTTACCTCTATGACATTATCAAAAAATATACTCTTTGTGAGATAAAACTTTTTTGTACTGCAAAAACTAGCTTTTCTTTCACTGCAACTCAAGATACATTAATATTATCAATAAATTAGAGTTTTTTATGTTCTTAATGAAACTTATATCAGGTGTGACAGATGCATAGGAGATAAGTTATTAAAAGCTCTAAAAGTTTTACTAAATTAATCAGGGCTCTAGATATTGCAGGAAAAGGAAGTTATCAGTAACAGTAGGACCAAGCAAAAGATGTGTTGTCTCCATGGGAAGTTGGTAAGAAATCAAACAATACGACTAACCAAAGACTGCATTATCTCAATTTGAGGTTTGTATAAGACATGAAAGCTAATGACTAAGAATGTTGGCCTTAATGAAAATTAATAAAATTTACATGGGAGGTGTGACAACTTTTGAAGAAAGGTTACACAGGTTGGTAAAGATGTCTGGAAGGGTGTGTAAAACACTAAAGTTAAAAGTAAGCAAAGAAATTAGTGAAATTATTAGAATAACAGTAGCAATCAGAAATGAAGCAAAAGAAATTTGAGGAAGGGCATGTTTCTAGATGCCTGTATACATAGTACCAGTAGGCATTTCCATTACTGATAAGATTAACTACAAAACATAAGAGAAAGAAAGCTGCTGAATTGCTGACAACTATGTGAACAAAGAAAATGAAATTTTTCTCATGAATGAAAAACAAAAATGTATTATAATATAGTGGTGCCAACTCATTTATATAGATGTAGAGCAATGTCTCTGGCTTAAGATGTGACATTATACAGAAAATAAGTAATGAAGAGATTTGAAGTTGAAAGTATGAAAGGTATAATGAAAATGAGCAGAAGAATATGAGATAAACAATCATTTATGTAGAGAGAATCAGGCATAATTGGCTTGCACAGAGCACATATATATGGGAATACAGAAGGAATGTTAGTAAAGGTAGTGTCTGAGTGAAAGTTTATGAGGTGTGAAATACATGTTAATTTGTAGAAAGTCTGACATTCAGCTGGCATACATGAGGGGGCTACATTGTAGTGATGGTATTTAACACACTGTTGTAGTACAGTGGATCCTTGGTTGTCAAACTTAATTCGTTCCAGATGTCAGTTCGACAACCAAACCAATTTTTCCCATAAAGAATAATGTAAATAGAATTAATCCGTTCCAGACCAAAAGTGACAGTATAATAATTTATTAAAAATAATGTACTAACTACTTTCGTTTTTCCTTTTGGGCCACCCCGCCTCGGTGGGATACGGCCGATGTGTTGAAAGAAAGAATGTACTAACTACTACATAAACAATGTATAAAATTATACAGCACACACACACTAAAAATGAATACTAAATGAAAATTTAACTGAAATACTGTACAGTAAATGAAAATTTAAACTGCCTCTTACCTGTCAGAAGAGATCTAATGACAAAATTCTAGCAGCTTCAAATTTTGCTAGAGAAAGCTGGTAGGCCTACATGTGAGAAAATGGGTCTGCATAGTCACTGTGCACAGTATAAAAAAAAAATCCTGCAGCACGCAGCACATAATGAGAAAAAAACTGCGACCGTGTTTTTGGTTTAAAACAGTGACATTTACTTCACTCACCTTTCTCGTTGTTTTCTTTATGTGATGGTACATGAAGTTCCTCATCCATGCCTCCATCAATTTATTTCCCCATGCTTCTGGTTCTTCTTACTATTAAAGTCTTCCATAATGCAGTGTATTTTCGTATGGTATTTATGGGTGTATTCTCATTTTCTTGGTCTCATTTGATAGAATGGAAAATATATTACAGAAATATAGATGATTTTCAATGGTTAAAAGACTAACAGTAGCTTGAAATTGAGCTCAAAGTAGCGGAAATGTTCGATTTTTGCTGATATTCAAGAGTAAACAAATCATGTGTGCAATACACGTCAACTGGTGGATCTCATGTGCATTCACGAATGCACTGATATTATTTATACAATTATTACAATTATGTAGTAGTCTGAATAACAACAAATCTTCTATTTTTTTGTGTGAATAAGAATTCAAAATGAAAAGCAAGCGTAATATAAGAGGGGCCTGTAGACGTGACTAATGAACAGATAAAATGTTATTTTAGTGCAAGGAATGTTTGCATTGTTTATACTGGACTATTTTGAAATTGGCCTTTCTTGAATTATGTGTGAAATTGGCCAAATTAGTAATTTCAGATCACTTTATTGGGTAATTGAAACAGGTAAATGGGCAGTTTCTTGTACTCACTCGATAGAATAAAAGTTCTAGCAAAATACGGGTAGCTATGAGTTTGGCCGACTGGAACAATGGAATTGTCCCAAAATAGGGCTTAATGTAAGTGAAATTGCCAATGCATAAATATCATCAAGACCTCTAACTTCGCGATAGCATAATTCCATAAGTTGTCCATCAAATTTCATACTTTTGGTTTCATTATCTTCACAAGATGCACAGCAAGAGCTCAAGAGACCCATGCTGTGGACTGTGTCTGGTGATCATATAGTCCAACCATTGTTGGTCGACAATCAAGACCCCGTACGGAAACCAGGGCCAAATTCTTTGTTCAAAAACCGATTTGTTTAACAACTAGTCTGTTTGACAACCAAGGTTCCACTGTATGACCAAGTTAATGTCTATTAAAAAAAAGTTCTGGAAATCAATCTGGCTGACTAGTTTTGCATGTTTGAAAGTCTAGTGTATTCATGTAGCTTAGTGGAAGGACAGCCAGAGACTGAATGATGATGGTTTCTTTGGGATACTCAAGGTAAACAAATTCAAAAAACAAATAAGGAACAGTGATACTGTCTATCAAACCACCATATCAGCATTTCTATTTTCCCTCGACCAAACAAAGTCGCTCAAGACAGATGACTGCAGAACTTTTCTTGAAAAAATCTACCCATACTTCTAGATAACCAGCCAATTGGGTGTAATGAAGTAACAATGATGAAGAATAACATTTTTCAAATAAATTAAAAAACTTGCTGGTCAGAAGAAAAACAATGAACTTTTCATATTTTGTAATAGGTTTCTAACATAGTTTAGTTTCAACTTCCCAGGGCTTTTATGGAAACATAAAATACTGATCTTCAAAAATTTGAATGCACATCAAGGTCACTAAAATATTAAACTACTTTTACTGGATTTAGCACTGACTTTGTAAATAAGAAGACATCCACTGCTCAGGTCCTATCCATATAACTAGACATTTGAATTTTGTTAATAAAAACTATATTATCATAAAGTAGAGCTTTTTACAAATAAATATAAGTGGATATATTTTTAAGAAAAGTGATAAACCTCATTTTAGAATCAGCTACCCACTCCTTTAATACAATTTACAACTGTAATTTGTAGGGATCTGTCAAAACATCAGTGGTATTGGCTAATTTTGATGGTACTGGTTATCAGCAAAAATTCCGGTATTGCCCCATCCCTAGTAATTTACTTTATATGTAGGTACTTTTGCATATATGCAGCTGTTGCATTCTTCAGTTAAGGGTATTTTTAACCTTATCAAATAATTTTATCTTAGTAAAAATATTTAACTGTATAACTAGGCAAATGATATCATTTGTTTAGGATAAACCCCCATGTATGGCTAGTACTGCAAATGATTTTCTGCCTGAGTCGCACTGATCCAGAGAAATTAAAGGGTCATGATTACAAACCACACACAATAAATACTACTGGATAAGTCTAAAATGCCTAAATTTTAAATTATACTGAAGAAACAGCTTTGGTGTATTTAAGCAAGTAAACAAGTTACACTTAAAATATTCACATCCAAGTAGTTTAATTATAATTAAAAGTTCTATAATAATTATTATAGAATCTTTAAAAAGCATAATCATATATTCTGTCAATATCTAATACATCAATTCCCAATAAAAACACACTAGGCATACAACCTTTTACTGCTCTATACATTTCATATACAATCTCGTGTAGATGCCGACATGCATATGTATGTATGAGTGAGGATGAAGAGAGCAATAGTATATAAATGATGGAAAAGATAGCACACTAAACTTTGATTTCAGTAACTTAATTTCCTTCTGTATACAAAGATTTATAATATAAACACAGCCATTATTAAAATGCCCTTCTACCTGTTACACTAAATAATATTGTGCATTATATATTTGTCATTTCTGCTATTGTGTACCTCGTAGTGTCAACAAGAGTGGGATCAAGCTTATAGTAATACTACATCATATGCATGCTATGCATATCCTTATAATATTTTCAAAGAAAAGTTTATCATATTAATTTTAACTGATATTCTTATAAGACAAACATGAAAAGATTTATAGTTTTATATACTGGGAGTTATAGGCTGGTGTAAAATTATTATTATATTCATATGAAAAGCCCTAAACAGTGTAAAGATATACTATGTAATTACCTATCTGAATTTGCAGGGGGAGTGAGCTCCAGCTCTTGGTCCTATCTCTTAATTTTTGGCTAGTGACATGACTGAGCACTGTTATTTCTATTTTTGAATTTCTATGGTTTGTGATGACAGAAAAAGCACCCTGCATTATGAGTAAGTTAGGTAAACATAGGTTTTCCTCTATCCTTGTAAAGTGTTATATACATCATGGTAACCACAAAATGTGGTATATTAAAATTCAATAATAGAAGGAAAATCAATGTACAGCACAATTTAAAAAGATAAAAGATAAAATTATGAATGCAAATACCTGGAAATCTTACAGCCATTCTTTTCTAATTTCATCACGGCCTCAAAATATTGTGTATCTACCAAACATTGAGTGTAACCACACAAAGACTGAAACAAATATCATATGCAAGAAGAGTGACGAAAGTAGGCATCAGAAATAAACCACATTTATTTTGATTACAACTTTCATATTTGCTCAACTATAGCATCTGGTAAAGTATGTACTATATTTACATAATTTATTTACAGTTTCTTTTTTAAGAAATACTGTAGCTCAATTTATATATTTAAAGTTAAAACTCTAATTCTTTATAACACCCCTGTACAATAATAAATATGAAATCTAAAAATAATTGTTACATTAACCAGTAATATCTACTTGGGGTAAATTTACATTTTACACTGCACATAACAACTGATACTATACATAATAATATTCTAAACTTTATTAACTAAATTATATAAAATATGTGTATAAAACTTAATCCCACTCATGTTGCCGAGCTCCAAGCGAAAAATCTACCAGAGGCTGTCAAAACTTGAGTTACTATTTACAATACAGTACGCAGTTTGTCTTCCATTTTAATTTATTGACCAAAATAATGATAGTACAGCAGGTACTTAAGCCTTTCTTATATTTATCATAAAAATAACATTAGCAAAGAAAGAGAACATTAATGCTAGTTTATGAAGGAATTTTGATAACATTAGAAAAAAAGATAAAGAATAGGCTAGGAACAAAACAGCATGGTGGTGACTAGAAATACTGGAATACAGTATGAAGGGAATGAGTTTAAACAAGGCTATGATATCTTAGCCCATTACAACTAGATATAACTCACTGAAAGACAAGACAAGCCTGACCCAGGGCCAGGCTCCGGGAGTAGAAAAACTCTCGAAACTCATCATCATAGGTAAGCAACTTATTTCATTCTTTGCAGAAAGTTAGGAGAGAACAATTCTACATGTACAGGTACATCATAATTTTAAATTACAATGAATTTCATGACTTGTATTTGCCATACAATTTTCTTTAAACTTTTCATAACAATTCTAGAAACAAATAATTAATGTACAAAAGTATAGTCAGTTAGTTATACTGTATGGCCATCTTTAACAACTGCATTATTTATTATACGTCAACTTTCATCTTAGAATAGAGATGGTGTAGCACTGCCATTATCTGTAAGAGACTTCATTTTATCAGAAAAGTTTGCAATGAATCCTAATAGGAGATATGACATTAAGTGTAGCTTCAACAGTGATCAATAAAATCAAAGTACAACAATACCTGAATAATGCAAATTTAATTTTATATTCATATTCACATAATATTTCAGAGACTTTGTTGATCTAATGTCACAACCTCTACTTCATTATCTCTACGTCGAGTAGTCTTTAAGCAAGACGATCGTTCTGAACACTCTTCAGTCTTAACTGTCATTCCAGTTACTTCATGTTTGCGTATTAATAAGTCCTCCAACTCTGGTGTACAATCACTGTCACTAACCAAATCTATTACTTTTGGAGGTGTTGTGGATAAAGGTTTCAAAGGTGGAACACTATGGTTTAACCCACCAGAATTGCAGGAGACTGTATCACTAGTGGAGTCATGATGAGTGTGTGCTTCATTATCAGAACAAACTTCCCTATCTTGAGCTGAAGGAATAAAGGGTGGTCCACATATGACAGTAGGCCGTGAAGCTGCAGGGCTCCTATGATGAACAGGTTCACTACTTAATGGATGGTCTGCTGGCAATTCATCAACTAACATTACATCTAGGTCAGATGGTTCTCCTGAGCTGCCACTAAGAACAACAGTCACATTAGTTTCATCAGACACCTGGGATTCACTTGCCTGATCAGAAGGTGAGGATACGGTGATGAGAGGAAGACTACGGTCTGCTTCAGGGCTAGGGAACAAGTCCGGTGACACTATGCCCTCATGGTCTGGCTCTGGGAGAGGTAATGAGGATGAACGAGGGCCAAAAGTAGATTTTGATTCCACTTTTAAACGCTTATCTCCTTCCTCATGAACTGGTGTAGAGAAGTACTTGTGCTTGTACCACATTTTGCGACTTCGCTTAATTGCACTCTCTCCAGCGACACCTGCAGATGAGGCGGGCCGCTCATCCTTCAAGTCAATCATTACCGTGCTTTCCCTAGTATCATCAGAAAACACACTTGCTAGATCAATACTATCTTGACTTTCATTTGTTTTAATGAAGCTAACTACAGAATGATTATCATCACCTTCATCAGCATCAACAGACATTTGCTGAGAGTTAAATCCAAGCCTACAAACATCACTTCCTCTACTACTTGCTCCAGTACTTGATATTTTACTTGTAACAGGGGGAGACACCTTTACTATCACATTTCGTATTGCACTATCGTTTGGAGTAATTCCTACGTTTGCAGAATCAAATCTGCAGGAAAGATTGACTTTGTGAGTACTGGTTATTCGTGCACCAGACTGTTGATCTTCCTGACTAGAATTGGGAGTATAAGTATATTTATATGAGGAAGATGAAGTGGGTGATGGTGTGTAAGGATCTATCCACTCTAAACTTGTTCCTGGAGATCCCTGAGCCCCAAGACTCCCTGAGGACCCAGCACCACAGTTGGTTGCTACATCTCCTTCAGCTGCATCACATCTAGCCTCACCTTCTAAGCTAAGAGAGCCTTTCATGTTTCCACGGGGAGTAGGAAGAACAAGGGTCATGTTGCTATCGCTGTGCCGCCGCCGTTTACTTGGAGATGTGAGGTAACCATCAAACATGACCGCCTCTAATGTACTGCTGCTGCTTTCATTACTTTGTAATTGCCGTTTGAATGAACCCATACTGCGTCGTTGAGTACCACCATATTCTATACTGTAATGATCTCCAGAACGATTCAAGGCTTCATGAAGAAGTTTCAGAACCTGCAATTAAGACAATTAAATTCAGTGACTGGTAAGTGATAGGCTGGAAATCAATATTAAGTACCAACAATAATTAAAACATTACTAAGATTGTCTGTTAAATGTATTCCCTACCCCATGTGGTGTTTTATTTGCATTCATCAAGAAAATTCAAATTGGAGTATACAGTACAATTATACCTCTCTAGGCCCAAAAAGAACTCCTATGCATTACTTTACACAGTTATAGATGCTCGTACTTCCAGTTAACAAGCTAACACCCACAAGCTGTGCCCACAGGCCTCGTGTGGAGTCTCTGTGCAGACTAATCAGTAAACAGTCAACAAGATGGCTGGTGAAGGAGAGGATCACCATGACCCTGATGCAGAAATTAGCTTTTCGTGATTTCAACACAAATCCTTTTGAGGAAGGGCCCTGATGGCCCAAGTAGAACTTTGCCAGTTACATAACATGTGGAAGGCAGCTGTATGATAATGGCAGGAGTTAATTATCCAGTTCATGTAGACTAATTTGCAGTTACAGGAAGGTCAGATTCTATTGAACTGCTATAAAGCTCACTGGTCTAGGAATATAGCAGGTCTTTTGTAGGTCATGCACAAAACCCTGCACTTGGTAATGGGGTTGACAGAAGCAAGGTTCCAGGAGTCAATGTACTCTGAACACTGCATTCATAACAAATGACAGAATTACAACAGTAGGCAAGTCACTATAATTAGTCCCACGGATCAGTGACAAAGCACACATGGATGCCACCAATGATACAATCTAGAGATTAAGTGACAGGGGCAAATGCCCCACTAGGTTACTCCAGCCATAATCTAGATGATATCTAGATTATGAACTAAACTATAGACTTGCGATAGTCCTGGTTGTTCTATGTCTGACACCTGAATGTTGGTATTAACCAATATTCTTGGGTGGTTCAAGCAGGTCAGAAAAACAAATGAAATTACTAAAATAAATTTTAAAGTAATAGTACAAATTTTAAGTGATAGTACAAATCAAATCATGGGATGAATAATTTTGACTAACTGGAAGTCCTTGGTGATATATGGTGCATAAAACATGCCTGAGACTACCATAGGATAATCTACAGGGAAGTCAGTAGCTGGAAGATGCTATGGACGATCAAGTAACACTTGGTGGCTAGAAAGCAGTCCAGATCACGAGTCACTGAAGATAAAGAAGCCATGGCAAGAACAGATCAGCACACTCTTTCTCTTTCTGAGTAGTAAAACCTTTAAAAGTTTTGTGAATCTCCCATAAAAGCTGACTGAAATTCTAGAGGCTAAGAGTCTTGTCAGGATCCCTCTTATGTTTGTGGGCCTCTGCATGAACTAAACGTGCATATTATTATTATTATTATTATTATAATCAAAGAAAGCGCTAAACTGACGAGCATCATGCACCACTGAGGGGCAGAAAATAGTGCTGGGGCTAAAACAGCTAGGTGGAGAGGGGATCAGAGGTGAGGGAAGAAAAGAGCTGGAAGGGACACTAAGGGCTGTGTGTCAAAGTTCGTATAGTAAAGCAGTTGCCGTGATTATAAGTCAAAGGCAGGGCTGTTTGCAATAAGGGAAGATAAGGTAAGAGCGGTAGGACATCGTCGTTGTTGGAGGTAAATCCTGCAAGCTCGCTGGTAAACTGGGAAATCCACAAGAAAGTGAAGAACTGAAATAGGGACCCCACAAACCTCAAAGAGAGAGGAATAGGGTGTCATTCCACGAGATACCCTTGGATAAGGTGAGTATGGCCGATGTGGAGACGGGAGAGTGTAGTCTCCCAAGTACAGCAACGGTGGTAAGAAGACATCCACAAACCTAAAAGCAGTTTAATAAAGTGCAATTTGTTATGGTGCATGTCTGACCACCATTGTTGCCAACGGCCACAAAGATGGCTAGAGATGACCGTAAAATAATCCCTGAATGGAATACCTCTATAGGAAACCAGAAGATCACGTCCCGCAGACCACGCAACAGCATCCGCCTGCTTGTTGCCCTGCACATCAACATGTCCAAGGACCCAACAGAAAATGACGTCTTTGTTTTTGCTAGCCACACGGCACCACCATAGTTGAATATGAAGGACCAATGGATGAAGGGAATTAAATTGTTTAACCCTTAAACTGTCCAAATGCAGATCTACGTTTTGTCAACATTTGAAAGTATGTAAAAAAACGAAGATTTTTTTTTTTTTTACATTTGAAAGCGTTTAAAAAACTTTGATCTACTTTTTTTTATATATATATTTGAAAATGTGTAAAAAACGTAGATCTACTTTTGGAGCACTATGCATGTGAATGCAGATCTATGTTTGGACAGTTTAAGGGTTAATGGCTTGTAAAGCGCTGAGGGAATCTGAAATGACCACAAACATCGAAGGAGACATATATGTAATACGGAGAAGCGCTATGAGGATGGCATACAACTGGGTGGTAAAAATACTAGCCGAGGCTAACAAATGACCTCGGACAACATCGTCAGGGAACACTGCTGTGAACCCAATGCCATCAGAAGATTTAGAACCATCTTTATAAACAGCGACAGCATGATCATGCAACCAGAAGTGATCAAGAAAAAGAGCAAGAAGCAGTCATAGGTAAGAGAGCTTTGGCACACGGTAGTAGGGCAGAACAGACACGAACTGTCAGAACCTCCCAAAGAGGAAAGGAAAAGGCAGATGCTAAATGAACATACAAGGGAGGCAACTGGAGAGAAGACCAGAGTGAAGACGAAAAGACAATGGTCGGAGTAAGCAGGGCACCGAACAAATAATGAGCTTTTACTAATGTCTGAGACCAACCTATATACAGAAGGAACATGAAGGTCATGAGTGAACAAAGTAATGAAGGCACCGAGCATCACGGTGATCAGCTAATTTAGGAACATTCCCCTCAGCACAGAGGCTTTCAACAGAGAATGAATGAAAGGTGCCAAGGCATAAACGCAGACCCTGATGATGAAGGGAATCTAACTTAGAAAGAGTTGTAGGAGAAGCCACAGAATAGACTTGGTTGCCATAATCCAGCTTGGACAAGACTAGGGTGGAATGCAAACAGAAGAGAGTCCGGTGATCTGCTCCCCATGAATGATGCTTAAGAATTTTAGAGAGATTCAGCTGACCATGGCAAGTTGCCTTCAAAGAGGAAATGTGAGGTTTCCATGTCAACTGGCGATTGAAGAGAAGGCCAAGAAACTTGACTGTATCAGATTCTGGAATACCTGAGCCATGTAAATACAATGGAATATCTGGGACAAGAGAACGTCTAGTGAAGGTAATGAAACGGGTTTTCGTACTGAAAATTTTAAATCCATGAGAAGTGGCCCAATGGGAAACCCAGTCAATCACGTCCTGAAGGGAGGCCACTACCAGGTGACAGTTAGTGCCTGTGTAAGCTAAAGCGAAGTCATCCACATAAAGTGACGACCAAATATACCTTGGAAAATGAAAGGTAGGTCATTTATAGCCAAGAGAAAAAGGGTAGTGCTAAGGACACAACCTTGTGGGACTCCCTTGGCCTGAACAAAGTCTGAGGAAAGCAAGGCGCCAACACGGACACAAAAATGTCTGTCAGATAAGAAAGCAGCAACAAAGGTTGGTAGATTACCACAGAGGCCTAAGGAGTGGGCCTGGGCTAAGATGTTATACCTCCAAGTGATGTCATATGCCTTCTCAAGATCAAAATAGACTGCTAGGACAGTGTTTATTAGCAAAGGCATTTCACACATATGTATCTAAGTGTAGCAAGGGGTCCAAAGCAGAGCAGCCCTTACGAAAGTCATATCGGTGAGGATAAAGATTATTGTAAGTCTCCAAATACCATATCAGATGTCTATACACTGGTCAGAAAAATGAGACAACAGTGAGAGGTATCAAGCCCCGAGGTGCCTGGTTTGCAAAACGGTACAATGACAGATTTCCACTGCTGAGGGAGAACCCCTCGCAAAAATGCATAAATGGGAAACTGTATGCATGGTGTAGACACCCGAACTATGATATGTCGTCCTTGTTGCCAGATGGCCCTTCAGCAGTTGAGTTGCCTGCTTGTTATTCCTCATGTGATGTCACAGGAGATCCCTGAGGAAACAGCCCAGCAAGGCAAATAGGTTTTTTCATACAAGTCAAAGGATGTTAGGGATCAAGAGGAAATGAGGCCAAAGCAATCTGCAGACAAAATAGGTTATCTTGTGCCTGTGACTTGCAAGAGTATCCCAGATGATCCGTGGTGAACTATGGAAGATTCTTCCTCCATGGTAAGCTAGGAGCTTCCTGACAACTTAACCCTTTCAGGGCTTCGGCCGTACTAGTACGGCTTACGCACCAGGGTCCATGACGTACTAGTACTCATAAATTCTTGCGCCCTCAAATCTAGTGAAAGAAAGCTGGTAGGCCTACATATGAAAGAATGGGTCTATGTGGTCAGTGTGCGCAGTATTGGTGTTCTGAAATACATGTTTGGAGGTCTCCCTTGTAATGACTGCAACAAATTATACGTGGGCGAAACATCAAGAGACCTCCAAACACGTATTTCAGAACACCAATACGCAAGCAGGACTGACGATACAAGGAATGCCTGTGTACAACATCACAATTCACACAACCATTTAATCAACTACAGAAACTCAAGACTTATCGCCACAGAAGACAACACTCAATACCGAAGAATCCTGGAATCATCGCTTATCTCTATAACCAACAATTTCAACCAGAACAATGGCTTCTATAACATAGCTGAACCACTTGCCAAGAAACTTCTTCATCGCTATCCCACATAAGAACATAGAACACTGCAGAAGGTCTACTCACAACTTGTCCAATACCCCTGCCAAGCTACCCAAGACTCTATAACCCCACCCAGTGGATCCTCAGATGCAGCATTCTCCACCTGACCTCAACATTCTGACTATAAATACTCCCGTACCTTCCACCCCAGGTAGATCTGTTTGTGACTTGAAAAAGCCCACTGTGTGGGCGAAACGTTGTCAATAAAGGATCACATTA